TGGGTTACTTAGCAACGAGCCTGTTGACGTCCAAACAATGTTCATGTCGTCAAAGTGGCTGGTTGTGCCAGACTGAGGTTCTGCTGAGTGCAACAATGTCACTGGTGTGTTCCTAAATGCAGACGGAGGAACAGCCCACAGACAGGCTGCCGGACTGAATGACACAGAGACCAACGCAAAGTGCTTACGGCGCTAATTCATAGAAATGCTGTTCACACCGCTGTATTGGTCATTTTACGGTCCATGTAGAGGGCATGCAGTGCTCACAGCTAGAGAAGTGAGGCGTCTGTGAAGAAAGGAGAAAGATGTGCACAGACTGGGCAGGGATATGAACATTTGACTAATGCTGTAACTGGCTTGGTCTTTTATGACAGGTAATAAATGTACAAAGGATTTCTTTTTCACCTAAATTATAGTTTGCATTTATCTGCAAAAAGAGTGGACAAATGATGTTTGGTATCACTTTACCTTTTTATGGCTTTTTACAGGATGAATTAATCTTCCACATTATAAACTGCTGGCTTGTTTACATCTGTTTTGAGCTGCAGGCAAAACTGTACAGGCAAACTTTAGTTTTGAGGCTTGGCAAGGTTGTTCAGATCAGCTCCCTCATTTGAATAACAGGCACATACTGTAGATTCTGAGGGGAGGTCAAGACTTTTTTTTTTTGCATACATCATAAAATTACATTTCATGCTATTCATAGTGAGCTGTCCACGGCGCATTATTAATGGAGCATGTGACTTCTCAGTTGCATAATTCAGACCCTGATATATTAAGTGTAGCAGATATGCATTGTAGTGTAACCAGTACTGATTATTTTGAATACCTCTGCATTTTAGGCATCAGGTTTCAGCTGCCATCTGTGTTAGGAAACATCTCCCGTGCCAATCGCTGGCAACAGGAGAAAGTGAAAAGGCATTTAAATATAGCAGAAGTAGATAAGAAGCCAGAGAGTCACTGACGAGGCAGCCATGGATAAGATGTGAAAGGTAACTCTAGGACACTGCTTATTCACACGCTGATGGCAAATGTTTAGGTTTAGTACCCTGTGTGTGTGTGTGTGTGTGTGTGTGTGTGTGTGTGTGTGTGTCTGCTGTTTAACAGCCTTCGTCTGTGACCTTCAGAGAAAACTGCAGGATACTGTTTGTGTGGGCACCAGATGCACTGGACCAACTGCATTACACCATGACCCGTCCACATCATTGGATCACTGCAGATGTTTCTATTTTAGGCCATTTACAAGAAATTATCTTAGTAATGGGCTGCATGTGCTCAGCTGATGGTTGCCTCTGACTACACCCTCAAGAGTTCTCACTTGGTCTGATTCGATGTCTTGCGTGAAGCCTCGTTGCATCGGTGTGGTGCTACATAATTAATCACATCATGTTAATGGAAGGAATAATGGGTTGCATGGGAGGAAGGCTGCAGGATTACCAGCAGTTTAAGTTAGAAAGGGCAGCACCACCCATATCATATGATGGACCTTTGATCATCAGCTGCTCCTGTGCATTAAAGGAACAGTGTGTTGGATTTAGTGGCAACTTGACATCTCTCTCCACTTTGTGCATGTATAGGTCCTGTTTGTGCATGTGTGTGTCTTTCGGACCTGTGTGTAATTGACAAGCAAGAGTGAAAACATTGAATTCCCCCTCAGGGGGATTAATAAAGTAAATAAACTTATAAACTAACTTATAAACTAGGTGAGGACTGCAGATTGCAGCCAGCTGAAACATCTCCCATGAGCCAAGTCCCAGCCAACACCTGGGTAGGATTCTTTCAGTGATCTTTGTTCAGGAAGTTATTACCAGGAGCCGAATTGTCCACAGAAGTCTCCTTCTCTCCAAAAAACAAACAGACGAGGTGATTTAAACTGGTAAAAATACTGGAATAAAACAGTTTCCCTTTACAAATCAGTGTTTCTCAGACACTGTTCAGCTTGTCATCGATAGCCTGGCACCTGCTAATGTGTGCTCACCTTTTTTCTTTTTTTTTCACTGAGCTCACCCACTTCCATGTTGAGAGCCATGTAGAGACAATCCCAGCTCATACTCTGAATCTTGCTCTGAATGTCATACACAGCTCCTTTGAAAGCCCAAAATTGTATTTTACAAGTGCATTTACATACCTGTAAATATTATATGTATCAAGTAAGTAATTTAAGAGTTTTGGATAAAACTGCAGCTTTTTGACTATTTTAATAGATTAAATGAGCACAAGCTGTTGTAGTCGTCTTATTACGCACATCACGGATGTAACAAGTTGTATCATCCATTGCAGGCAAGGTGGCCATGACATGGTTGTTCACAGCAAAAAACATCATAGCCCCACACATGCTTTCTCCACACATGACCGAATTGCTCAGTATGAAGCCTACAGAGCTCGACCTGTGTACACAATACTCTGCCAGATGTGTTTTTTGCTGCTTGCTTTATTGTCATTCTGATGAGGTGATGACAGGAACAGAAGTGCCCGTGGTGAAGGAAAACCTTAATAATGACCTTATTTCTATTAAGTTCTCTTTTTTGGCCTGTGTGCCAATGTGAACACATTTAAAAGGTTGAACAGGTCTGGGTATGTTCATAAATCTTATTTTATGGCACAGATAAAACAGATCATGACATGAACATGTTAAAATCAAAAGCAGAGAATTGTAACTGTAATACGTGACGTCATCTCTGAAGTCTGAATTTGCTCCATATGAAGACTGGCTTTACTTTTATGAACTCTCCGAACTTTTGCATTCAAATAAGTTTATCAAGAGAATTTAAATCATGCAGTATTCCTAAACAGGACTTGTTATAACGTAATATGGATTGATGATTGATGATTTTGTTTGTGTAGCAAATTTCTACAACAAAGTTTAAAGAGTGCATGGCAATCAATACAAACAAACATGAGAGAAGGTTACACAAGCAAAGGAGAGGACAGGGGCAAAATCAAAGAGGGTACACACACTCTCTGGTTGGGTTAAAAGGTGGTGGAGTTGCTACACACTTACAGTACGACCTTATCACAGACAAAGAGTATAAACGCAGCATGTTTTAGCCATAGACCTGCACTGACTCAATACTATTGACCATGAGAAATAAAATATATATGACCAGCAAAAACATGTCAAGCTGAAATTTCTGGCCTGATCCGTTATTAATGGTTTTACACTCTCTTGGAAGATTGTAGTTTTATATGTTGGCTTAAAGCTTCAGGAGAATTTTACCATTTGGCTGTGAATTACTTTTTATAAGATCCTCCTTAAACTTGGCTGTTTCTGATCAGCGTAAAAACATGTCCACTTACTCCTGCATTTATGTAAAGCTGGTTTTATAAAACTGTAATGTTTGCATAGGCTGTTCCTAAAAGCATGGGCGGAGTATGAGTCAATGGGCCCCTGGGCACAGATATGCAAAAAGCCCCACAACCTCTCCCACATAGGAGTAAGACACACAGACTTTAGAGATGTTTAGCCTCTTTGTGCTGTTGTCATGCATCCCTTTGTAGTCATTATCATCGTTTTGGAGTTTTTGTGTCTGCGTGGTAATTTTGTGTCCTTTTGGTTGTTTGGCCCTCTTGCCGTTAGTTTATGTTCCTCTGCAGTTCCTTCGCATCTCTTTATGGTCATTTTGAGTCTTTTCCTGGTTGGTACATGTTAATTTGAGTGACAATTTGCAGGTGTAAGCCAAGGGAGGTGGGTGGGGGGAGGGGCAATGATACTTTGGGTCACTGGGCCTGTGTCCGGGAGGCCCATATGGTAATTTATCAGAGGTGGGACCAAGTCATTGTTTTACAAGTCACAAGTCAAGTCCCAGTGCTCTCCACTTAAATTCCAAAGTCAAGTCCCAAGTCAAGACAAGCAAGTTTAAGTTTCAAGTCCTAAACAAGTCATAACAAGTCATAACGAAGAACAGAGTTACAATACATTACAAACGCTTTTTAGAATTTGCATTTATTTGTTTGAAAAAGTTTGTTGAACTTTCCTTAGCTAATGTAGTTTAGCTAAGTATTAGCTTGCTAACTATGTTAATATTCGTCTTTGGTTACTGTTCTTTGTGCAAATTGAAATGTCAAATGAAGCTGGAAGTTGTTGCATCTTCGTTTTAAATTTACAAACCCTGTTTCTTACTGCCGTTCATTTTATGTTGACCACTGCATAGTTTTGTAGTGAACAAAATAATTTTTGGTATCATTTTTTTCCAACTGGCGCTCCGTAACATAATGTTACATATTCATAGTTCTCTCCTGCAACTTGATTGGATGCTGTCCTATTAGTTCAAACAAAGTAGATCTGGAAAATTAAGTGCTGACTTGCTGGGTTTTAATAGTGTTAATGTTAACTGATTCAGAAAATGAAGGGGAAGTAATTGATTTGGGTCAGAGTTTTTAAATAACACACTTTTAATCTTTGGGTTTGGAGGAAGGTATCAAGTGTTTTCAAGTCAAAAGGCTCCAAGTGAAGTCATGAAATGTTGGTGTTTAGTCCAAGTCAAGTTGCAAGTCTTTTATGATTTCGTCAAGTTGAGTCCAAGTCATGTGACTCGTGGCCAATATTACAGACAATATAAAGCCCAATGTTAAAGGCTGTTATGTCACACAGGATATTGTATATTTCAAGGTTTTTGTTGGGAAATAAAACTGATTAGGTTCAATAAGATTGTTGTTACAGGAGACAAAGCCAAGAATAAATGAGCATCTCTAATGAAGTGAGGTGAGGTCAAGAAGAGATTTAAGGACCCCCCAAGACAAAACCACCACAGTCTGAATTTACAGGCGTTTTGTCTTTAGAGTCACAGTTTGCAGAAGCTTTTTTTTCTAGTTATTCTTCCACAATCTCCCCTGGTGAGAGAAATAACAGTGGGCGGTGAATGGAGTCCAGGCGAGCTAATCCCCTCTGCTCCGTAGACCTCCTGTAGCCCTGTGAAGGACCCCCAAGTAGCCCAGGGGCCAGCAGCGGGGGCCCCTGTCCTGCTGCAGCAGCAGCACCACTTGCAGTCAAGCAGCGGGACTCCAGGCACTCACTTCCCCAGCTGCTGACGTCAGCTGGCAGCCTGGGCTGTGCTCGCCGCTCCGGACATAGCGCCGAGAAAAATGCTGCTCTCCGTACCGCCAAGGGCAGGAATCAACCCATACAACGGCTATAACAGCAGAAACAGCAAAAAGGTAAACGCTTTCGGGATTTTCCCTTATTCTCGGCTTGTTCGCCCTGCAGGGCAACACGCCCGTGTGTGTCGCGACAGAAAAAGGCTTGTGACAGTGAGCTGCAGTGTCCTTGAAAAGCGAAACGTACTGAATTTAACTTCAGACTTCGTGGAGTGAAAATGCAGCGTACAGAGCAGCCGTGCTCCGCGGGCTGTGGAGGTGGGAGAATTAGCTACCGCTCGGTCCTGTCATGTTGGACGCCTGGTGTTTTATTTCCTAGTATTTGTGCGTGAGTAGTAGAGTAAGGGATGTCGCTAGGGCTCTGCTCACTCATTTGAAAAAAGTCAATGGTGGAGAGCAACTTTTATGGGTAACTGTACCGTGTTGGGATAGCGCGTCTGTGGCTGGATGTGTTTGTGGAAGTGGGGGTAGGGTGAGAGGCAGGCTGAGGGAAACATGTTACAAAATGAATTCTGCCTCTTCCTCCGCGGGCTCCGGACACTCATATCTAGTGTTAAATCAGGTCTTCATTGTCTCCGCCGCCGCGTAAGTTTGCAAAGTTTTTTTTTTTCCTCGTTTCCCATCTGAAAGCGGAATATGCCCCACCCCTTGAAAAATCCCACCAGACCATGATGACTACATTCCCAGAATTATGAATCGCGCTCTCATGGTTACATTCAATGTTGACATTGTCACTTTGCAATCAATATGTGAGGGGAGGATACTCTAAACAAGGTTTGATCTAACAAGATACGATTTAATTTATTAAATACATAAATTACAAATTTGTTTTTTAAATGCTACATTATTATGGTCACTGATAGGAGAGACTATTTTTTGCATTAAAACAACTTTTGCTTCTTGAAATCTATATTTCTGAGAAATAGGTTGCACATATCATGTGTCTTCTATCTATGGACTGTAATGGCTTAGAAGTGATGGTAAAAAGCTCTTTCATTATACATGGCGACATTGTGATTTCACGTCCACAGGATCCACAGTAGCTCCTCCTGTCCTTCTGCTCCAGCTTCTTTTGTGTGCTCCTGAACTCTAAATGGCATTTGGAAAATGTATATTGGCATATTGTCTTTCTGTGATCTTGGGCACCGCCTGGCTGCTCATCCCTCCCATATCTGATGTCAACACGAGCGCCTGTCTGAGGAAAACAGCATTGTGTTTGAATTGTTTGCTCTACACACACTCACACGCATGGTTTGCAATTTAATTTAATGAACTCACATTGCGTTTTTACTGAACATACATTTATCTGCAGACATTTATTTGAGTTAGTACTCAATTGAACGTCATGTCGCTGCTTTGAGGAGACTATCTGACAAATAATACCTTCCCTAATCAGAGCACGCCATTTTTAGCTCACCGGGGTTCAATAAAAATTGTTAAATGTCACTTTTAAAAAGGAAAGTCACTGCATGAGCAATCAGGACTGTCTTGTAAATGTTAGCAGTTGCAGTTTCATTCTCAGTTTGGTCCCTGTTGTTTCTGACCAAATGTGTAATAAATGTATTATATGATTATAGATAGATTGGCCATTGTCAAGGTAGACATTCAGTATAGACACTTTTATTATTTAGTTATTTATTTTTAAAGACCTAATCCATGTTTATGAACGATTCTATATGGGCTGAGCTCACCTGTCTCTTCCAGTATCAACTGACGTCTATAAACTAAAAAAAAATAACAATCATTTTATTGTTTTAGTAAGTTTTTAAGCAAAAATGCCAAACATTAGCATTTACTTTTTCATATATATTGTAGTAAATACAGCCCATCATTGTGTTTTGGACTGATGGTCAGACAGGTGATTTGAAAATGGTATTTTAAAAAAATATTTCATATAGACAAAAATGAATCGATTATGAAAATAATTACTAGTTGCAATACGCCTTGGGTCACTCAGTGTTGTTTTATATTTCAGAAGCTCAGTGAGTAAAAGGAAAAATAAGACATTTTGGGAAATTCGCTTATTCCCTTTCTTGCTGAGAGTTAGATGAGAAGATTAATGCTGCTGTCTCATCTGTATGCTAATTGTTAAGCTGCAGCCATCAGCTGGCTAACTTAGCTCAGACCAAAGAAGGAAAAAGTTAGCCTGGCTCTGTCCAAAGGTAATAACACCCACCAGAGCTTCCCCCAAAATGTCGAACTTTTTCCTTAAGCAAAAAAAAATCCTAATTAAGTGAGGTATAGGTATTATATTTATATAATCATTATATGCACATAAAATGTAATAACAGTTTCTTACTGACAGTTTTAGAGTTAACCAGTATCAGTGGGCTTTTCTCGCTCCCTCCTGTTGTCAGTGTTAATTTACAGACATTCGGCTGTTCTCTACTGTTAACCAAGAAAAGAAAAGTTGTCGTTGTCATGTTATAGCCGTGTTATTTTTATAGATTATTAAAAAATACTGAACTGCATGCCCTCACTGTCAATTTTTACCCTGTGCGATATGGAGAAAATCAAATGTCACATTATTTTTGACCAAATAACTTGATGTTATATGCTGTAAAACATTAGCTAAATAAACAATATGGTACAAAATAATACATTATAAACATCTACTGAAGTTGTTCTTAACCAAAGTATCTTCTAGGGGCTCCACGGAAAAACAGGGAATCATAATTCTTTTTAATATTAAATTAATTTACAAAAGAAGTGAGCCTAATGTGAGTAAGAGTCATAAGAGTGACTATGCTGATCATAGGTTTCACTTCCTCCAAACTGTAGCTGGCAACTATAGCACTGTGGCCTTAATCATGTATAACAACCAACATCTTTTCAGATGGCGGTCCTAAAGTGAAATCTTATCAAATAGGCGTCCGTGACCTAATGTGTATTATTTAGGAGTACTTGCAATGAAGAAGGTAAAGACCTGCTGATCTGCTACATACAAATGAAGCATGAAGACAGGCATTAAATAAAGAATGTAAAGGGAAGTCAAGTTTTCTCCTCCAGCTGCTTTAGTGGTCCCAAGCTTCTCTATTTTGTGGAGCTAAAGTTCACAGAGAGGTCAAGTTCCTGTGCTGTGATTCCTAACGTTTCCACCTCCCACATCCACCTCCTCATTCTTTTTTATCTCTTGCTCACATTCCGCCATACCTGAGCCGCCCAAGTACACAAAATAAAAGCCTGATCACAAACTGAACACGCCAAGGGGTAAGAAAAGCGTTCTTTGTGCGTGTGAGGTGATTACCGAGCCCGACGACTCAGAGACGTTTGGTTGCTGTTGTGCTTTAACCCAGCTGCTCCTCCCCTGACTCAGCACCTCATTTCCTCCCTCAAATAAATAGAATTAATGTTCTCAAATCAAATTTGGTCGGTTTCCGCGTAAAGCTTCCTGGATGGAAAAATAGCAGGAGGCGGCTTGTCGCTTCTCAAGGTATCACACGTCTCGCTCGGAGGCTCATTGAATGGCTTGTTTTTGTACTCGTCAATCAGATTTTTGTTCTCATGTCTGTGGGAGTTTTTTTTAATGTCAAGTTATCTCTGAGATTTAAAGATCTGGATGCTTCAACACATAATCCAGCAGGTAGAAGTGAAAGAAACACATGAATTGGAGCATTAAATTGTCACACAGATTCAAAGGGTTTCACTAAAAGTTCAGACATGGCAGAATAGAAGAAATGAAGTCTCCCATGCTTCTTTCACCCTTTCACTTTCACGTGCACAAGCTTACAGCCGTCACCAGTGTTTCCTAATTCTTGCCGGGGAGTCTTCTTTACTTGCGTGACATTACTCTTTGACAACAGTCAGAGTTTGACTGCAGTGTGTGGCAGAAGTGGAATATCTTAAATTTAAAACATTGCTTTCAAACAAAAAGAGGTTTGTTAAAAAGCTCACACATTGACATACAGGCACACAACACATAGAGGACAGGATTGATTTTTACTTTGTGACATGAATGCCTCACATAAATACCTTGATCAGAATAAGTTTGTTCGGTAAAGCAGGTTCGTCATGTGAGTCCGATCCTGTGCTTGTGGCTTATCAACATGGAGTCTGTTTTTGTGTCAGTCGCAAAGAGAATACCGTTCATTAGCAGGCAAAAAAATCAATCCAGATTAAAATTTACCAAGAAATTGCTTCAATAATCATATATAATTTATATGATGAATCATGCAAATATGTTGACATATGTTGCTGTGAAAAGGTCCCTTGAAATTAATGAAGTCTCTTAGTAATGGCTCATTGATTATATATATACTATATACACTATAATAAGTAACAATTACTGTTTTAAAACTTGATCAGGTTCAGCATTGCCAGTTTGTGTTTAGCCTGCCTGCATTGGTGACTCAAATCATGCCCTTCAACAATTCACAGGTAAACTGTCCAATCACAAGGGTTTATTTTAAGCAGGCAGTGATTAATCACTCTGCTCTGGACACTGGAGGCGAGAGCATTTTAACTACACCAGCAACCTGCAAGGAAATTGCAGCTATTAATAAATCCTTTTACTTTAGATAACTTTAGCTTGAAAAAGACTGTTAATGCAATTATCTGGACTTTTAAAGCATATTTCATTGTCATATACAGTAATGTGGCCTTGAAGGAAATTTCATTCCATTTAAATGGTTAATAATTAACACTGTCTCGCTCCCACAGATGGATCACTGGTTATCGTGATGAATATTTGTAAACACCAGTTGTAAACACTGTAGCGGAGCAGTATGTTGGCTTTATTGGGGGTCAGGGAGTTGATAGCTGGCAGCGAAAAAGGAACCTTTTTGGTGAAAGAATTGATCAAGTTCACATCTTAGAGTACCACATTGGAAAAACTGTATGGAAACTGAAAAATTTGATACATTTTCAATTGTGGAAAAAGTTATACTTGCTTGAGGTGTTTTTTGCCTTTGTCAAAAAAGAGTTGAGGCGCTAAATGGAATATGGAAATGCCTTTGCCGAATAAGTTCTGATGTAGCAAACATTTTACCCACATCACTGATCAGATGTTTTCGTCTTTAGCCCTGTTTCCACCAAACACTTTCGGTATTGTACCTTTGGAA